CAGTCTGCACCCAATTAGCCTCTGCTTGCCAGACCAGTTGGAGTCAGGGGACCATGCCACTGCCTGCCAGTCTCAGTCCACTGCCTGGCAAGCCTCTGTTCACAGGCTTTTTTAGAGTCAGGGCACCACACCCTGCCCCACAGGTCTCAGCCCTCACCTGGTATGCCTCTGCTCACCAGCCCTTCTGGAGACGGGATCATGCCCTAGCCATCAGGTCTTGGTCCACATCCAGCAAGCCACTGCTCGAGGTTTCTGTTGGCATCTGGGGACCATGCCCTTGCTCTCAGGTATCAGTCCATGCCTAGCAAGCCTCTGTTTGCAGGCCTAGCAGGGGCTGGGGACCAGCCCCCTCTGCTGAACTCAGTCACATGGGGCAACCACTTTCCCCTTGTGGGTGCCATCGGAGCCAGGAGTTCTGCACCCTGTCCTGCCAGACATAACCCAAACTGAGGGTCAACACCATCACTGGCCAGGTATAGTCATAACCAGGGGACTGCTCCTCCTCCCATCAAGTGTCCCTTTCTTCTTACACCCTCTTTCTTCCCCATTAGTCACAGATTCTGTCCTGATGGCTGGTAGTCCACACTATGCCCAGATCTCTCAAGACTGACTAAACACTGTGCTCTGCAGGGGGCAGAACTTCAGACCACCATGAGAATGGGAAAGGGTGGTCTGGAAGTTTGGACTTGTGGGGGGAAAAGATATGCTCAATTTTATGCCTGGCAGGGTGGTGTCTAGGTTCATAAGTGGGACCTCCCTGGAGAAAGAGACCTGGAGTTTAGTGGCTCTGTCCAGCAAGGTAAAATGAGAGGTCTTTTTGTTCCTTGATTGTTTGCAGATAGCCTACGGCAGGCCCCTGCTTGGGGGAGGGGTCTCCCATCCTCTAGTTGATAGGCTTTGTACCTGTAATTTGTTTTCTTGAATGCTCTTCCTTGGAGTTACAGCTTGCTGAACTTCTATCTTGGCTCAGCTCCCCATCTTTGGCTTCATAGAGACCGATTCTGTCCAGTTTTGATTCCTCTGCTCAGGAGCCTCTGTAGAGGGTTGCTATCAGTTGTTGGCCATCTTCAAATCTATTCATATTTTTGCAAGTCATATAGTTGATAAAGGTCTTGTATAGACTCATACAACTCAATAACAAAAGGTAACCCTGTTTAAAAATGGGCAAAGAATTGAACATTTTCTCAGCATAAGCACACAAATGTCTGTTTATTGCATGAAAAGATTCTCAATGTCATTAGGGAAATGCAAATCAAAACCTCTTATAATGGCTGTAATAAAAAAAAGACAGTGATAAGAGTTGGGAGGGGAGGCTCCATGACCATAGTTCAGTGATCAGTGCAGCCACATACACCAGAGCTGGTGGATCTGAACCCAGTCTGGGCCTGATAAAACAACAGTGACAACTACAACAACAACAAAAATAGCCAGGCATTGTGGTGGGTGCCTATAGTCCCAGCTACTTGGGGAAGCTGAAGCAAGAGAATCACTTAAGCCCAAGAGTTGGAGGTTGCTGTGAGCTGTGACACCATGGCACTCCACCCAGGGTGACATAGTGAGACTCTGTCTCAAAAAAAAAAAAAAAAAAAAAAGGAATTGGGGTTGGGGGGGATGTAGTGTGCCAGTCTTGCATACTGCTGGCAGGAATGTATGATAGTGCAGCTGCTTTGTAAAACAGAATGGCATTTCCTCAAAAAGCTTAAATGGCAACTTTATTCCTAGGTGTATACCAAGAGAAATGAAAACATTCATCTTCACAAAAACTTGTAGGTGAATGTTCATAGCAGCATTATTCTTAACAGCCCCAAACTGGATAAAAACTCAATGTCCATCAACTCATGAATGGAAAAATAACATGTATATCTGAACAGTTGATACACTAGGTGTGTCACAGTGTGCATGGGAACACAACTCAGGCATGAAAAGGAGAAGCACTGACACACACTGCAAGGTGGGTGAATCTTTTTTTTTTTTTTTAGACAGAGCCTCAAGCTGTCCCCCTGGGTAGAGTGCCACGGCTTCACTGCTCACAGCAAGCTCCAACTCCTGGGTCAAGCAAGTCTCCTGCCTCAGCCTCCCCAGTAGCTGGGACCACAGGCGCCCACCACAACACCTGGCTATTTTTTGGTTGCAGCCATTATTGTTGTTTGGCGGGCCCAGGCTGGGGATTCGAACCCGCCACCTTGGGTGTATGTGGCTGGTGCGTTAGCCACTTGAGCCACAGGCGCCGAGCCAGGTGGGTGAATCTTAAGACCATCATGCTTAGTGAGAGAAGCCAGTCACAAAGGCCACATGTTGAACAGCTGCATTTGTCCCAGATATCCAGAACAGGCAAACCTATGGAGATAGTATATGAGTAGTTGCCAAGGCAGGGGAATGGGGCTGCTTTTCTGGATGATAGAAGTGTTCTAAACTTGACTGCACATGTAACTACAATGGAACCACTGAATTGTACGCTTTATGTAGGTGAAGTGTATGGCAGGTGAGTTCTGTATCAATATAGCTATTCTTAAAAAATGAGCAAACCTCATTTGTATAAGCAACATAGGCAGTGTCACCAAGTATCTGCCACTGCAAGCACCATAGGAGACCTTACCAAGGCCCTTGAGAATCAGGATAAATACATGACTTTGTTTTAGTCAGACCCTTGGTGTGTTCCAGGTGGTGGTCTCAGGCATGGTGGGATAGCTCAGGACTGGCCATGGGCCCTTGTGCTTTTTTTTAGAGCAGGTTAGGGTGTCAGTGGGGTTTCTGACAACCAGACTCATCGTGCTGTCTGCTGTCCGGGGAAGTGGGCTCAAGTTAGGGAGTAGGCATGCCCATAAGAGACCTCGAGGGGGAGCAGCCACAGATGTGGAGTGTGGGATCCCAGAGGGTATTTAATCTGCCATGTGTGGACAGACACCAGGCACTGGGCATGCTGGGGCTGCATCAGCTGGTGACCACCAGGAACCCAGCCTGCCTTGAAGGGAACCTCTGAAGGTGGAGCCTCCAGAGCCAGTGGCTTTGCTTCAGGAAGCAGATGCTGGGTGGAGGGCAATAAAGTCACCCTCCAAGGCAGAGTAGTCAGTCCACTCATGCAAAACAGGTGACCAAGGGCTAGGCTGCTGCACCCCACACACCCCGCACATTGTGTCACTTGGCTTGAGAGGGCTGGCCCCTTCCTTGTTAGTGTGGGATGTTAGACTGAGTCAGCCTTAGTGTGTGTGGATTGGCGACCAGGGATGTTTCTGTAAGAAGCATGTCTTTGTAGGTGGCAGGGGACACTACTGACCTGGGACCAGCCTCTGGGTTCCCCTCCGTTTGCCAGGCTTCTCGGGATCTTAGGCTGCTTTTGTGAGGGGTGGAGGGGGAGTCCCTGGCTGGCACCTGCTGGCTCTGGGTGCCCCCTCGTTTGACAAGAAGAAGCTCGCAGGCTTCTGAGCCCAGCCGCAGGGCACGTGGCGCTCACTCTCTGCTCCAACTGTATCCAAACCCTTCTGCATCCTTCTAGAATTTCCAGTAAACTCATAAGGGTAAGGGGAGAGGAGTGAAGGGTGAGTCTCCCCGGACATCTTTCCTCGAAGTAGGGTATGCGCGCCACCAATCGTGGGAATGGATCAAAGGAAAGACAGTCGTGGCTCAGGAGAGCAACACCTGTGGGAAAGGGATGCCCCAGACTGCAGCCTGACTAGAGTGTGGTTCCCGCGGAAGGACAGAGGGCCATAGACCCTCAGGGCCCAAAGGGCCGCCAGAGGCATGCTGCTGTCCGAGCCATACACCCTTCCAACAGAGGGCGAGGCTTCCCAGACCCTGGGGACTGCGATCCACACAAAACGAACACACTTCTGGGAATTCTCCAGAAATGCAGGCGACCTCTTCAGAAACGAATAGGCCCTAGACATCTACGTAATGTGGAGGAGGAGGGGAGAGACGTTCTGTTCCTCCCTTTGCCCTTTGTTTCCCTTAAACTTTGCGCTGTGTGTCCGGTCCCGTGGCTTCGCAGACACGTAACTACGCACTTTCCTGCAGAGGGAACAGTGTAGCGTCCCGGAGGCTCTCAGAGACCCCCTTTGAACCGTTAAGCTCTCCCAGGTCCCACCCTGACCCCATCGCTCCTCCAGATGCCCCGCACCCCGGCCCCCAGCGGCGGGGCCCCAAGGTGAAGCGCTCGCCCATCAGAACCAGGAAGTTGAGGCTGGGCGACGCGCCTTCTCGTAGCCACTCTCATAGCTCCTTTGGAAGAGACACCATATACCTAGTTGGTGGGACACCGGCCAGCACCGACTTGCACTGGGCCCCGGGCCGGCACCGGACAAGCTCCACTGCCTACACTTGTCCTCCTGGCTGGCTCGCGGGTCAGCCCAGCCCAGAGGGGAGTGCGTCAGCCGTAGAGGGTCACGCGAGGGCCCTGCGCCTCCGGCGTCCCTGTCCACCTCCGGCCCCACCCCGTCTCCGGCCCCGCCGCGCCCCTCACGCCCCTCTGCGCAGCCCCGACCCGCCCGGCGCCGGGTCCGCGTCCCTGGCTCCGCCTCCCGCTCCGCCTCTTGCCTCCTCCCGGAGTTCCGGACCTTTGAGCCGCTGAGACGTGCTGGGCTACCAGGCGGCGAGATGGAGTCGAGGAGCGGCGACGTGAAGGCTGCGGGCGGCCCGCGGGTGCTGGTGGTGGGGGGCGGCATTGCGGGGCTGGCCGCAGCGCAGAGGCTCTGTGGACGCCTGGCCTTCCCGCACCTGCGGGTCCTAGAAGCCACTGCCCTTGCCGGGGGCCGCATCCGCTCGGATAGCAGCTTCGGTAACCGCCCTTCCCGACCCCGCCGGAACCCAACCGGCTCTGCGGGCGCCCGGGTTAACCGCCCGAAAGCCCCGCCCCGGAACGCGTTCTCCCAGAGTTAGTCCCGACGGCGCCTGCGGGGAAAGTAACCCGTGCGGCTGCCGGGTTCTGTCTCCGCAGGTTGCCTGCTCGGCCTGGGCCCTTCCTCAGGGACCCTTTTCCCCAGAGCACGTGCAGGCCAGCAGTCCCCTTTCCTCAAGCTGCCCTTACACCGGGTGGGACAGGGCCCTGCCCTTGGAGAGCATGAGGCCCTGGAGCTGTCCTTCATGGCCCAGTCTGGATGTCGCCCAGAAGGGCCAGGGGACCCTTGGGGGGACCTCAGGTGGCATCTCTGTCCCCAGGTGTCGTGGTTGAGTTAGGTGCACACTGGATCCATGGCCCTTCCCCGGACAACCCAGTGTTCCGGCTGGCTGCCGAGTATGGGCTGTTGGGGGAGAAGGCGCTGTCGGAGGAGAACCAGCAGGTGGACACTGGGGGTCACCTGGACCTACCCTCTGTGTGCTACACCAGCTCCGGGACCAATGTGAGCCCTCAGCTGGTGGCGGAGATGGCGAGTCTGTACTACAATCTCATAGACCAGACGCGAGAGTTCGTGCAGGCAGCCAAGCCCCCGGTGCCCAGCGTCGGGGAGTACCTCAAGGAGGAGATACGCCAACACATGGCCGACTGGACAGAGGACACGGACACCAGGAGGCTCAAACTGGCTGTCCTGAAAACCTTCTTCAACCTGGAATGCTGCGTTAGTGGCACTCACAGCATGGACCTGGTTGCCTTGAAGCCCTTTGGGGAGTACAACGTGCTGCCAGGGCTGGACTGCACCTTTCCTGGGTACGAGGTCCTGTGCCTGCTGCCCACGCCTCCCTCCACAGGCCAGGGTTCCACAGGCCAGGGCTCAGCGGCGGGCTATCCAGTGCTTGCTTGGGCTCTGAGAGGCAGAGGAGGTGTGAATGGGACAGGCCATCTTCCTGTTCTCGGAAGTTGGTTTTACTCTTTAAACAAAAAAGGTTATTTTTAAGAGAGCCATTGAAAGAAAGAAAGAGGTATCATATTACTTTCTCCTGCATTTACTGAGCCCTCCTATGTGCTGAGTGCTAAGTGGGGGCTTCCACTGCAGAAGGGCCAGATAGGCCTCCTCCCATTGACAGGGAGGATCCCTGGTGTGGTCAGCTCCAAAGCTCCTGCCCAGGGGTGGGCATTTGTGACTCAGGAAATGCACAGCCCAGAACCCTGGGTGGGAAGGAGGGAGCCTCTATTCTGGCAGATTACCTGGGAGCTGGGCTGATCATTAGCTCTCCTAATCCTGTCATTAGCCTGAAAGACAGGTGTTAACATTCCTGCGGTAAGTGGAAAACCGCAGGGGTGGAACAGGGCCTGTCCCTCTGGGACCGGATATGGGTGGGAGCTTGGGAGGCTTATTCCCATCAGTCTTACTCTTGCAGGACTGTCCTGTAAACATCAACACCTCCTGTCTCTCCTAGGGGCTACCAAGGGCTCACAAACTGCATGGCAGCCTCCTTGCCAGAGGATGTGGTGGTTTTCAACAAGCCTGTGAAGACTATTCACTGGGATGGGGCCTTCCAGGATGCAGCGTTTCCTGGGGAAACCTTCCCTGTGCTGGTGGAGTGTGAGGATGGAGACTCTTTCCCAGTGCATCATGTTATTGTCACCGTGCCCTTAGGTAGGGCCAACTGTTCTGGTGGGATTTTCAGTCCAAATTTCCATCCCAAGTCCATTGGCCTCTGACCTGGCCCTGGCTTACCCTGCCTCAGTTGGCTCTGGGACATTGGCTTGGCTACTGAGCTCACTTTTTCTTTTTTTAAGACAGAGCCTCAAGCTGTCCCCCTGGGTAGAGTGCCGTAGCATCACAGCTCACAGCAACCTCCAACTCCTGGGCTCAAGCGAGTCTCCTGCCTCCGCCTCCCAAGTAGCTCGGACCACAGGCGTCCACCACAATGCCTGGCTCTTTTTTGGTTGCAGCCATCATTGTTGTTTGGTGGGCTGGGCTACATTCGAACCCGCCACCTTAGGTGTATGTGGCTGGCGCCTTAGCCACTTGAGCCACAGGAGCCAAGCCTTAGCTCACTTTTTCATTCTAACAATTTTTGGAGGTGGAAGGAATTCACCTCCTGTGTGTGTTTTGTAGCACTTGTATACTTTGGAATTAAGGGTTTTACAGAAAGAGAAGATGGAAATAAAGGGTGTCTTGGTCATTGAAAGGAATTAGAAAGGTTGGGATAGCCTCAGATTAACAAAGCTATGCTTCTTTGGAGCAGGAAGGGGTGCGAAGAACCTGGTCTCAAGGTCAGGCTGTGGTGGTCTGCGGGGGCAGCTGGAAATCTTTAATTCTATATCTGGTGCTCTGGACATAAGTCCGAGTAGGTTATTTGGAGATGGTCGAACACAAAGTCCCTAGGGTGACTACAGTTGATGAGACACGCGTGTCATGTGGGGCAGGCTGCCCTTGCCTCTGCTCCAGTCACCTAATTCCTCACACAGCCTCAGGCTGAGAAAGTGTCACTTTAACTGCCCAAGTTCACACAGCAGGAGCCCAGGGCTGACAGGAGTATGTATGACAAAGTCCCCCCACCCAGCGTGGCTGCAAGACCCTGAGGTTGCTCGTGCATTTAAAAATGCTTGTGTGAGGCTTGGCGCCTGTAGCTTAGTGGCCAGGGTGCCGGCCACATACACTGTAGCTGGCTGGTTCGAACCTAGCCCAGGCCTGCCAAATAATAATGACAACTACAACCAAAAAATAGCCCAGCATTGTGGCGGACCCCTGTAATCCCAGATGCTTGGGAGGCTGAGGCAAGAGAATTGCTTAAGCCCAAGATTTTGAGGTTGCTGTGAGCTATGATGCCATGGCACTCTACTAAGGGCAACATAGTGAGACTGTCTCTTTTTTTTTTTTTTTTT